GCAGCATTGGAACAGGTAGGAACTAACTTGCCTTAGCCAGGCAGCACCACCGATGGGACTTTTAATGGCCCAATCAGCAGTGCTGACTGGAGCCGCCACGACTCAGTGCCTTCAATTCCAGTACTGGATCACGACCTGCTGTGTCTAAATCAGTGGTTTTCAATATGCCAGGGCTCTCGTGCAAAGAGTTTATGCCCTTTGGGCAGATGCAATCTGAGCTATTTTGTTTGCTGTCACAATACAGACCAGAAGGTGCCAAGGACACAATGGAGGATGAAGTGCTAGAAACTCCTGGAAACACCAGAAAATACTGGAAAACTCCTGAACTACTGGAGACTCAGGGACTGAGAGGCAAAGCAAGACTGAAGACCCACTGATGTGGAAACAGTCGGTGCTGGTCCCTATGTCTTCAGTATTGGACTCAACAGACCCCCCAAGGCCGGAACTGGAGTTGATGATATGGGCTCTCACTGATCTCAGCGGGGTACTGGTAAGTGGTTGGATGGCCCTGTTCCATCCACATGTAGGAAGGAGTCTGGTGCTGTCAGTACTCCCCGTAGAAGATGAGGAAGAGTCTAGCCGAACCAGAGAGTGGTCCTGATTAGTCTTACGGGACTTCTTCCTCACCACATGAGAGGGAGAATGAATCCTCCTCCTCTTGGGGGAAATTGCAGGATCTGAACATGGTGCAGCATCACTTGCCAGTTCCACAGGCGACCACCAATCACATGAGGGCCTCAGTGCCAAAGCTGATCTCAGGGCCTGCTTCGGAAGGTACTGCTTCAGCCATAAGTCTCTCAACACTTGTATCCTCTTTTTGAATGACTTACAGATGGAGCACTGTTCCTTAATGTGTCAATCACTGAGACACAACAAGCACCTCTTGTGGGGATCACTATTGGGAATGGCTCCCGCACACGATGGACAATGCTTGAACCCTGGTGAGGACATCACACAAGGCAGCCAACTACTCAGGGCCAGCTCCAGGCACCAGCCTGGCAAGCAGGTGCTTGGGGCGGCCACTCAGGAGAGGGGCGGCACGTCCAGGTATTTGGTGGCAATTTGGCGGACAGTCCCTCACTCTGGCTCAGAGCGAAGGACCTTCTGCTGAATTGCTGCTGCAGAGGGAGGGATAGCTCAGTGGTTTGAGTACTGGCCTGTTAAACCCAGGGTTGTGAGTTCAATCCTTGAGGGGGCCACTTGGGGATCTGGGGCAAAAATCAGTACTTGGTCCTGCTAGTGAAGGCAGGGGGCTGGACTCAATGATCTTTCAAGGCCCCTTCCAGTTCTAGGAGATGGGATATCTCCATTAATTATAATTATAGATCGTGGCTTTTTTTTTTATTTTTGCGCTGCTTGCGGTGGCAAAAACCCTGGAGCCAGCCCTGGCTAGTGGCATGCTGAGTGACATGAGTTCTCATTTGAAAGAATGATATAGTAATACTTACCTGCTAAACAAAAGTGTTCAGAGGCTTGATTACTTACAGTTTGCAAAGAACTCTGAGATCTTAAAATGAATGGTGCAAGCAATTACTGGAGAGAAATTATGAAAGCACATCCCAGTGCATCCATTTCTGGCTCTGAACTGGGTGTTGAGTTAATAACAGTACAGGCAAAAACACTTGCTTCATTCAGAGGAGGTTTGGTATGAATTCCCCCTCCCCCCCTTTCTCCACATACAGTGCACTTTGTATTCAGTTGGCACCCTGTCCTGATTGAAGGCAAATGAAAATATGTGCACTGTCCATGTACTATAAAACCCTAGCCAGGGCTAAAAAGAGATAAGTTAAGAAAGCTAAAAACGAGTGCCATAAAAATTCTAATAACTAAAATAATTTCACAGCAAGGGCATCCATGGACTGGAGTACAAAGTTTTTGTTCCATAATCTGTTTCACCAAGTTCCTAGTATATATCGAGCCTATGTCTTACTCTTGATACTGTGCTGATCATATGCTAGTCAGCGATAGAGACTTTTTCTCCCCTACAAGTGACAGACCACTGAGCACATTACACTCCCCATTTCAGTAGTTTCAGCAGCTGCATAACTCATAGCAAAAACAGATGCACTATACTGTATAGAAAAAACCCACATTGGACACTATCTTTCATGGCTTCTTTAAACCTCGCCTTTTAAAGGCTTTGAGATTAGAGTTTAAATAACACAGGCTGTAGAGTATTTGGAGTAAAAACCTATGTTCATGAAATGAGCAGAATTAACTACTGTGAGAAGTTGATAAGGAGGAACTGAATACATTGAATGAACAGTTTTCACTAGCTGCCTTTCCATGTATACTATTTCCACATGTCTTGTTCCTTAAACTATAGATTGTTCAGTAACCATATGCTAGGCAACTCAGAAGTCGCATGTTCTGATCACTTAAATAGAAAAGAGAACATTAATGTCTGGCCCTTCCTCTTTGAAGTCGGATGCAGTAGCAGAAACAGGCCCAAACCAAAGCCCCAGATACACACAGCCCCAGACTTTGGGGAAGTTTGGATCTGATCCCAACTTTGCCTCTCTGTAGATACATACACACACAAAACTGCTGTTCATTCACTTACTTGCGTACAGAGAATTTGGTTTAAATTTTGTTTTCTGCTACACCAATAAAATCCCCATTGACTTCAAAGCCCAGGTAATAAAACAAATCACATAAGATTAAGCTAGGTGTTGGATTGGGGGGAGGGGGAGAGGATGGGGAGCTGAAGTTGGGCAATCAAGGTATGTCTATACTGCAATTAGACACCCACGGAGGGCCTGTGGGACTCGGGCTAAGGGACTGTTTAACTGCAGTGTAAACTTTTGGGCTCCAGCTGCAGCCCGAGCTCTGGGACCCTTCCACCTCGTAGGGTCCTGGAGCCCAGACTCCAGCCCAAGCCCAAACATCTATATTGCAATTAAACAGCCCCTTAGCATGAGCCTATTAGACCAAGTCAGCTGGCACGGGCCAGCTATGGGTTTCAACTGCAGTGTAGACATTACTCTCAATTACACGAAGATTACTGAGGGTAGAATATGTTGCCCTTAGTTTGGGCAAAAGTGAAAACTAAATATATATAAACACAGTTTCTGTCTGTGTGTGGTCTTTTTAAAAATGAGCTTGAAGGAAATTGCAGTGCTGGATTAGATTATACTGGTACGCAGGCAAGAATAACCACAATAAGATATGTAATGGAAGATCACACAAACTGGACCAAGGGGGCATTAACACTATCAGATTTTTGATTATCAAATAAAATGACACTCAGTAACCTGTTTGCTGCATGGTATAAAGCCGGGTGACTTTCAAAAACTTGAAAGTAAGAAAGTGTAAAATATTTACATTACTTCCCATTAATTTTGCAATGTGTTCCACTCCTTCCACCCCCACCTCATCTCACTTCTCTTCCCTAGGAAAACAGCTGTGTTTTTACCACATGTTGGCTAGTTCCAGTTAACTAATGTGAGGTAAAATTCCAGTGAAGACAAAGTACTTTGCAATTTTCATATTTGTCAGCAGGTCAAGGTACACTCCAGACACGCCCATAGTAACTTGTGTGAAAGCCAGGGCCGGCTCTAGGATTTTTGCCGCCCCAAGCAAAAACAATTTTGGCCGCCCCCCCCTCCCTTTTCGTTTCTTACCCCACCCCCGGCCCCG